AGGTTTTAAGTTTTGATGAAGTTGTATTTGTTTCTCTTATTGATTGTGCTTTTTTGTGTCACATGTAAAAATCCATTGCCAAATCTAAGGTCACAAAGATTACTCCTATGTTTTCTTCTAAGTGTTTTATAGTTTTTTTTTTTGTATTTAGGAAGTTGACCCATTTTTGAGTTACTTTTTATATATGGTATGAGATGGGGATCCCACTTCATTCTTTTGCAAATGGATAGTTACGTGTCTTAGCACCATTTGTTGAAGAGACTATTCTTTCCTCTATGTGTGGTTTTGGCACGATTTTGAAACTCAGTTGACTTAGATATATGGGAAGCAGACACTCTTGACTGAGAACTTTGACAAATCACTTAATTTTGAGTTTTATTTTCTCATCTGTAAGATGGGAAAGATAACCTCTTTCAGAGTTTTCAAGATAAAATGAGATCACATATGGAGAGTGTCAGCCATAGTACCTTGCACATAATAGGTTCCCCAATGAATGTTAATTCTTCCCTTGCTTCAAGATATAGAGGCAGGATACACACTGTAACAGCCATCACCTCTATTCTTTCTTTCTTATATCCCCAGGGCACAGGAGACCCTAGACACATAAAAATAACTATTTTTGCCTCAGTCATTTGATGAGTAAATGCTTACACCCCTGGACAAGTTTGGTGAGGGGGGAAATCATGATAGGGTGAGGAAGTGCTTAGCTAGAAATACAGGCATGCCAATGAAGTAGTGGTTGGTCTTTAATAATTCAGTCAGCATTCAATAAGCACTTATCTAGTACTGACTTTGTGCCAGAATCTGTTCTAGGTTCTGGAGTTACAAAGGCAAAATGCTGCCCCTGCTTTTGGAGAGTTCTCAGTCCACAGGGAGAGACAGTCTGTTAAATAGGTGGGTATAAAGCAGCATAATAAATTCTGAGATAGAATGAAACAGAGTTGCTTTGAGAGTGGCCACGAAGGAAATAATTCGAGCCAGAGGATTCAGGGAAGGCTTCTGGGAAAAAGTGACACTTAAACTGGGTATTAAATGATTCATGGGAAGGAGTATAAAGATGGGCAAAAGGGAAAAATGTTAGCATAGGAAAAGTGTATACAAAACTAAAGATGTGAATATATGTTTTGGGTTTAGGAGGTGAAAAATATTCTGGGGTGATTGGAATAGAGTATAGAGTGGGGTGAGAAATGGCTATTGGCATCTGTTAATAATCATTGGCTTAAACAGGGAACTGACTTGGTCACATCTGTTTTAGAGATTGATGAGGAGACCTGTATGGAAAATAGATGATAGGGAAGAGAATGAGGCTGGAGGCAGGAAGTAGAATTAGGAAGAAATGTAGTGGAGAGGATAAAAAGGAGGGGCATTTTTAGGTGGATTTATGGCAAATCAGATATGAGAGTGTGAGAGAGGAGGGGCCTAGGACCTAGGATGACTCTCAGATTTATGAGTTGCCGGACTTGGCCACCGGGCCTTTCACCCTGGTAGGGGCATAAGAATGAGGAGCAAAGTCACAGAAGAAAACATCATATTTGCTTTTTCAGGTGGATCCAGATGGAGATATCTGGTAGACAGACTGTATGTGGGACTGGAAGGGTGAAAGAGAGTTTCAGCTGGAAATGAGTTAGTATAAAAAAAGACCAGACATATTATTATCTGGCCCGCTAAAGGGAGAAATGGATTTTTTGTTTTGCTGTGTTTTATTCTTGACAATTAAAATATTAATGAGTTTTATTTTAATACTAAAAGTATAAAGAAAAAGGATATACCTCATAAATAGCCCATAATCCTTCTACTCCAATAACCCCTGTTTAAAGGAGGGAGGATAATATATATTGTTAGAAAATACAAGCAGTTCAAAGAAGTACGAAATACACAGGTTTCCCCAGTACTCCATTCCCTTAACCATTGTTAACACTTCCTTGTATTTCCCTCTAGGGAAAAAAAATGCATATACCCCTGGATTCTGTATATCCCCAAAAGGGTCCTGCTATATACAGTGGTTAAGAGATCTGTTTTATTGAGCAGATTAACCTTCTTACTGCTTTGCCAGACTTCACAAACCCATCTATCCTGGAAAGATGGAGCTGTGTGTGAACTAATTCACTGGGGGAAAGGCAGGTTCTCCATGCCCTTCGCTCAGGTATGGAGGCTGGCTCAGGGAGGTGCTCAGTAAAGAAAAACCAAATGAGCTATTGTTGCATCTTGGAAAATTTGGACAGTGTTTGTCTGCAGTTTCAGTTGATTAAGTGACTTATTCTGGAAATATTTTCAGAGTCCTAAGTGTGCAGTGCTGTGTGTGTGTGTGCAGAGTGAGGGAGGACAGAGGACTCAGTTCCTAGACTCATTGAAGGGCAGAACTGTAAAGGCCAGTGACCTTCTTCCAACCCTCTTGTTTTCTGAAGGGGAAACAGGTCTAGGGTGAGCTTATGAATTGCCTAAACCACATGGCTTGTTGCATTAGAGCCAGCACATGAACTTCAGAAGTGTGAGGTGGAGGGAGGTGGAGCACTTGGTGGTAGATTGGGGGAGTTAGTGAACTACTCTTGTTCCTTTCTACTTCTCCTTCTGTCATAAAAGTGTCAACAATCCCCAACTCCAAATCCTCAGACAGAGGCAAGACCTTTGAGATGCCCTGTGCAGCCCTTGGCCCTTGGCCTGTGTTTAATAGGCAGGGTTGGTTGACATCCTGTACCTGTTAGAGGCATCTGGCTAGTATAGGAAGACCACTGAACTGGGAATCAGGAAGCCTGGATTCCAGTGCCAGCTCTGCCACACCCTACCATATTGCTGTGGGCCAGTCATATCCTCTCTTGAAAGCAGGGGTGGATCTAGCTAAATTTCCAAGGTCCCTCCTAACATTATTGCTTTCTAATCATAAGAGGCTATATTTAAGCAATTATAGAAAATCCAGAATTTAGGATTCTGTGATTCTAAAATTCTGGTTTTCCAAGATTCTTTAGATGATGCTTAATGTCTCTTACCATGCAGAATCCTGAGTTGTGAGACCTGACCTATTGTGTAGTAGAGAGGGGCTCCATATATGAGACCAAGGCCAAAGAAACCAGACCCTTTCCTCTAAGAGTGTGAAACCAGGCAGGATCCTGGAGCTGGCCCAAGCCATCAGCAAGCAGTGCAGAGGGGCAAGGAGATGAGATGCAGAGGCCATCTCGGGCCTCTCTGGGTCCTTCCAGTAGCCCTGGCACGTAGTCCCGGTGAACAACCCCATTTTGCCCAGGAGGAAACAGGCTCAGAGAAGAGGATGAAGCCATTGGTTCTACGTACCCTCAAGTGTTCTTTGTCCAGTGTTCTTTCTACAGTCTGGGCCTTGAGACGCTGCTATCGATTTAGAGACCCCAGAATGTAGGGGAATCGTGTTCCAGGCTCCAGAGGAACCTAAGGTGGGTTGCAACCCCCGAGGCTGTACGGATCTTCTGGGAGCTCACTAAAAACCTGGGTGCTGGGGTCCTGCCCCCAGACAGATTCTCAGACTCAATTGGAATATATTCTAGTTGGGATCTGGGCATCTGATTTTTTGTTTTTTTGTTTTTTAACTTTGGAATTTGAGACCCTTCAGCTTGGACTTTTTCTGGGGAAAAACACCGCAAAAACAAAAACGTAAGAAAAGTGTTCTGAGAGCCTTGGGCTCGTGGCCCAATTTTGCCGCGGACTCACTGTGAAATCTGTGCAAGTTTTCCAATGAGTGAGTCGGATTCTGCAAGGAAACTTTTAAAGCACGTTCACATCTGTTACCTCCGTGCTCGCAGGCTTTCCGTTCCCATTTGAAGAGGAAAAAACTGACCCCGGGAAGAGAAAGGGTCCTGCCCAGCCACCGGGACAGGCGGAGACAGAGACTGTTTGAATCCAGTTCTCTTGACGACCAAGGAGCTCCTCCGCCGGAGCCAGTGCAGCCCCGACAGTGCCCAGCCTCTACCGCCTGCCGCGCCGCCCGGAGGGCCTACGGGGCTCGGCTGCCGGAGGGCAGCCGGTAGCACAGGACTCCGACAGCCGCCGCCTGTCAAACCCTCCGCCGCGCCCCACGCCCCGCGCCCGGCCCCGCCCAGGCCTCCCCAGGGGAGGGGCCACGCCCTCGCGCAGCGATTGGTCCGAGCTCCGCGGCTGCCGCAAGCCAATGGCTGGAGCGGCTGTCGGGCAGGACACGGCCCCGCCCCCACCCCGGGGTGCTGCGGCGGCGGCGGCTGCGGGGGCTGCGGCGCCAGTGGAGGCGCGCCGAGCCGTGCGCCCCGCTAGCAGCCGCGGCGGAGGCAAGGTGAGAGGGGGCGCGGCCCGCGGCCGGCGAGTCGGAGAGGGGCGGGCACCGGGGCTGGAGATCCCAGGCTGGCATCCCAGCGACGCTGGGCTCTGGGGAGCTTTGGGATGGAGCGGGAAGCGCGGAGGGGCAGAGGCTTTGGGGGCCCGGCCCTCGTTCCAGGAGGGATGATGGAAGGGCCGAGGTTCTGTGGGGGGCACCCAGCGCGCGTGCTTGTGGAGTGTGAGATCGTGTGACTGCTGGGGTCTGAGCGGGTGAATGAGAGAGCAGTGCGTGTGACACGTCGTGTGCGTTTGCGGAGGTCTGTGGTGTGCGTGGGGGCGACCGTCCGTGGGCGTTACTGACTTCGTGCAGTTTGCGCCCGCACTGGGCTCATTTTCTCTGCTGAGCGGGTGGGGGGTACGAGTGATGGTTTCGGTGTCGGGAGTGAGCGCCCATCCTCGGACTCCCATTTTCACTGCTTGGGTGGCTGTGGGTGAATCTCAGACGTCTGCGCCGGTAACCTGTGGGCGCGCAGTCTGCGGTGCCTGAACGCAACCCGGTCCCGGAGAGCCCACGAAGCGTGCAACCGGTGACTTACCTGGAGCAGTCTCCGCAGGCATTACCAGAGCCCTTCTCTGGGAATTAGTTGCCGCCCACTCCCTCTCTTACTGGGTGTTGCCGCACAGGCTCTCTCCCTTCTCCAGGTCTCAGTTTCCCCATTCATCCAAAGAGGGCTGATCTCGGTGGAGGCGGATTTGGGCGGGAGGGCGCAAGCGCTTCGCGGGATGCGCTGTGGCGGCGGGTGGCCGGGACCCTCGACACTCCACGGAAGGAACCGCGAGCTTTTACGCGGAATCAGGTGGGTTTGTCAGGTTAGGATACGTGTGGTGGCGTATTTTAGAGATGAGGAATAAACGGCGGGGTGGTGACCCTCCCTTGCCCCGGTACAAGAAGGCGTCCGCTCCCTTCCCGCTAACGCGCCCGTGCTGTCTCCCCTCCGCAGGAGCCGGTGTAACCCCCGGCGGTGCGCCCCGCCCGGGCGGGCGCCATGCATTGCGAGGTGGCAGAAGTGCACTCAGACAGGAGGCCGAAGGAGGCCCTTGGTGCTCCGGTCCCCGGCCGAGGGCCCGCAGGCCTCGACACGCACATGTCCTTCAGGGTCACCGTGAGTGGCGGCGGCTGCGGGGATGGGGACCCGCGTGACCTGCTGCCCCGGCCGCCTGCACCGCCGCCATACGCACACGACCTCCTCCGGCCTCGAAGCCCCCGGGACTATGGTCTGTCCAAGACCGCCGCTGTCGGGAAGGGTAAGTCTGGCCCCGCCAGCATGCCTGACGGGGTGTGGAGAGATTCGGGCTGTCCCTGGCGTCGCCATCGCACACCTTTGTAGGAATCCCCCCGAGAACTTAATGGAACTTTCTCCAGAGTTCATCAGTTTCTCTGTAGTTGTTTGGGACTCGCTAGCCATTCTAAAACGATGCCTGTTGAGGAAGCATCTAATTTAAATTCAGTAAGCCTATTTTGGGGGAAATGTGTGTGTATAGAAGGCTCAGATTACACAATTTTGCTTCTGTATGTTTTTGGTAAAAGTTTATGAAACTTTTCAAAATCTTATACATTATGGTGAATGGCAACTCAGGTATCTCTAGCTCTGAGCCGGCTAAAGGCATATTTTGAAGTATTCTAGTTTCCCTATATAACAAAAACTGGAGGCCTTCAGCAAGACCCCTCCTCTCTTGAGACCTCAGTTTCTCCATCTGTCAAGTGAGCAGTTAATTATACTAGGTGATTTCTGGATTCCTGATGGAAAATTTTATGAATCTATGATCCAGCCTGAGTCAAGTTCTGACTTTAAAAAATGGCTTTTCTTTACATGAAGCTTTGGAAGCCTAGTCTTTGGTTAAACGTTACTTTGCAATACCGGCCCTCTACCCAGTGAGGCTGGTACAGGCCCCAGTATGCTTTACAGGCTCAAAGTCACACATAATGCCGGGAGTCTCAAGAACATGTTCTTCTCATCACGGTTAATTATTATTGAGCCATTATTTATAAGTTTCACTCTGACAGATAATTAACCAGAAATAGGGGAATTGTTAAGACATTCCCCCTCTTTGCTTACCCCTGGGAGAAACTAAGGCTTTAGAATTTCCTTATTTCACTGTTTGGGACCTCTTGGTTCTATTTCCAGGAAGACAAAAACAGTTTCTTTTAAGGTACTATAGGCATCACTCCGTTAGTATCAGCCCCAGCAATTTAGAAAAAGTAGGATGGCTTGCTTTTAGAAATGAGAGCTCCTTTTGGGTAAGAAATCACGTACTTCTCCATGTGGGGACCAGTAAAATAGAGTAAGCATAATTTTTCTTTTTAATGAAAACACCTGATTGTAGGAGAGAGCTGTTTCTTATTTTAAATATCAGTCTTTCCTCCAATAGATAGAGATCATTTTTTAAAGGATAAATGTAGGGATAAAAATGCTATTAGAGTATTATTTTTGCTGGAATACACATACGAGGTTCTCTTTCACTAGAGAGAGAGTAGTTCTGTGCACTGAGACATGAGTAATATTTGCTGCCCTGAGCTCCCTGGCTTGCCTCTCCACATACAATCCTCTGTTCAAACAGTTACCTTCCTGTAACGTTTTGGGTTTTAAAAATCGTAGCTGTCAGTGAAGATAGAATTCTCTGCGGACCTAGTGAATGGCTCTCTCAAATGTACCCTTTGTTCCCCACTGTGGTTAGAGACATTTCATCTGGATGCTTTGTGTGGGATCTTCCTACTTCCATACCACCAATCTCTAATTATTTTTATTCTCCTCCAACCCTGCTCTGCCCAGGTCTAAAATATGAGATCTTTAAGTTGGGATTGTATTTGGAAAAGGCAGAAGAGGATAAAGGATAGGAGAAAGAATCTCTTTCTTTGTACTTTAATATGGTTGTTCCGGTTAAACTTTTTGTAAGAGGCTTCTAAACTGTTTTCATCACAGCTTCCAGTGAGGCTGATTGGGTAAGATTTATCACACCCGCTTGAAAGATGAGGCAACTGAGGCCTGAGTTGTGGGGAAGTGTCTGGGTGGAGGGGTCTCTGGCCAGCCCGTTGCTCATGGATCTGGTGGGCTTAAACAGGGTTCTCACCTAGCCTGTGTCCCTCTAGGCAAGTTGTTCTTCACACCTGAGACAAAATTAGCTTCCCAGCAGAGCTCTGGCAGGGCCGCCTTTAAAAGTGCCATAAAGACCGTAGTACCTTCTTACTGCCTCTACTCCAACCAAAATATTCCCCAGACCATGTAACCCTTTGAAAGTTTGCTATCTAGTTCCAGGGCTCAGGCTTATTGGAAACAGACAGGTAGAAATACCAGTTGATAAATACTTATTGACTGGGCTGGAAATTGTAAGATCCTGCCACCTGTGATCTCTTGGGCTCCTGGGGGAAGCTACTTCACACTCTGAGCCTTAGTTTCCTCATTTGTCAATTTAAAGTGTGGTACACTTTGAGGGACTGTGGGGAGCATCCGTGATAGATTGTGAAAGGCCACTCAGTGCCTGGCTGTTTCGGGGATTATCCCTGTAACGTGTTTAACATTCTTAAACTCTGGTTTTTCATTTGCATGAGTGGCAGTAATGCCTGCCTTCCATGGTAGGTGAAACAATGGTTGGAAGAATGCTTTATAAACTAAAAAGGGAGAAGGGGTCAGTTTTATTAATTTATGCAGGGCACCATGCTAGGTTCAGTGATACCTGAGATAAAGTGGGTAGGACAAGAGTGAGAAAGGTGTGATTTTTAAAATGTCGAACTGGTGCACTAGCTAGGGGAGCTGAGAGGAGCTAAGCTGCAGACCTTTTGTGGCCACTGCTCTCCAGTAACTGAAGACAGTATTGCTCAGTCTGGGATTAGGTTTCAAATGATTTGCCTTCTGCCTCAGACAGACCAGACCCTAAGTTCAGGAAGGAAACAAGCTCTTGAATCCAGCAGCTTTTTGGTAAATGTTGGGGTCCTCTGTATTTCTAGATTTACAGTCAGGAGGCACTGGGGATGGTGCAACATCATGAACTAACATTGTCATCATTTACAATAAGAATCACGATCTGTTTATGGCAGAGTCCCGCTTATCCAGATTCCAAACAGCTGGAAAGGCCAGATTACCAGATGCTGCATTTTTCTTTTTTATTATTAAACACCCGACACTCTGCTTTTGGAAGTCCTGACAAGGAAGAAGGTAAACAGCTGGGCTTTATGGAGGCGGGCAGCTTTGTTGCGATGGCCGATGACGCTGGTTCCCTATGTATAGCGCTTTACGGGTCTCACCATGTGTTCCCACGCATTCTATCATCTGCCCTCAGGCCAGCTGTGCTCTGCCTACCTTGTAGGTTGCTCTGAGGGAACAGATGTAGAAGTGCTTTGCTGTCTGTAAAGTGCTGGGACCGTATTCTCTCAGTACTGTGATTCCCATTTGATAGATGGGAAGAGGACATAAAGGTTTAAGGATATGCTCAAAATTATAGACAGTAAGTGGCAGTTTGCAAGTCTTCCTGTTGAAAATATGTGATTCTCGTTCTACAACTTGTATCTTCTAAATGTGTGTGTGTTGGTGGCTGAGAGCTGACGTTGGGGATGGCTTCCTGACCATTCCCAGAGAATTTAAAATATTTTTGGCTTTCGTATTTCTTCTGTCTCAGATCTTTGGAAATTGGTAAGTAGTATCTATGCCATAGTTAGAAAACTTCTTAGTTTACCAGATAATTCTTTTTGTCCAAAGATGCTATTCCCAGACCAAACCAGATAATGAGCTTACTATTTAATTCATACTCGCTGTGGGCCCTTCTCACCATGCACAGGGACTGGGCACAACCTGGCAGTAAAAAGGAGATTGATGATCACCACAAATGTGGGCTCTGCCATTAGCAAACGGCCATTATAATATGGCTGTAAATGCCAGACAGTAGTCAATCTTGAAAAAAAAAAGCCAGCATATACTTTTTTCTTGAAAAAGGAAAACAGCTGTAGATTGTGTGCATGGCATTAGGGGCTGGTGATATGGCTTGTTAAGAGTAAACATGATAGTTTTGGTGGCGTTATCTGGTAGAGTTTCTTCATCTGAACCAGAAGCCGCTGTGATGTTTGGAGGAGGCTTTGGAGGGAATGGTGCATCCATAATAGAAAGGTATGAGTTATTTTGAAAGCATTTACCCCCTCCAGCTCTGGTGGGCAATTTGCTTGCATTTCATCCATTTTAAAGCGCTGGTCCTGTGATCCGGAAATAATCAGATCCAAATTTTTTCAGGGCTTGAGGTTTCAAATAAGGGGGAGAAAAACCTGCTGGCCAAATGTCAGGCTCAGTGAGACAAAGAGAAACATGAATGTGTGTGGGTATACAAATAAGATAGGAACATGTTGCGTCTACAGTCATAAGAGTTATGTATCCGACAAATCTTTTATAGACATGTAGCGGAAATATAATTCCCAAAGATTCCCTAAGAATCTTGTGCGGCTAGAGTTTCTCTTCCCTTCCTGCCTCCCAAGCTCTCTGGAAGCTGCTAAGACTTGGCATGCAAAATGGAAAGGGACCATTATATGAAATTGAACTTAATTTAGGCTTGTTGTTTCTGAGTAGTTTACCTGTAGTTCTTAGCTGGGCTGAGGTCTCAGGACCCTCTTAGCTATGGAATCATGTTGATAGGCTGTGTTGTTCCATCTGTAATTAAAAAACATAAGTCTCTTTATATGCTGTGGTTTTCCTTCACACTTTTCCTCCTTCTGAAGAAACCCCAAACCCACCCCATCTTTAAGTTATTCATCTCCCTGCGTTACATTTGCGTGAGAAGCTAAATGAGCCAGCGCACTTATTTTTACAGTGCGTTAAAATCCCATTACAGGCATAAGTGCACAATGAATCATTTAAAAAAATATATTCTTATGTTCTTTGTTCTGAATGTTGCATAATTATCATCATTTTCTTCGGTTTTATTCTGTGGAGTTTGGCCAGCATCCTAGAAAAGGGGAGAAACTAAAGTTAGGAAGAGGGTTTTCAGTCCTTTTTTGGATAGGATTAGGAAAAAAACAATAAACAAATAAATACCAGCTTTACTTGTAAGTTGACCAGTGACTGTTGCTAACTGGCTTTGCATAGAGAGGATCATTTCCCTTCCTTCTCTCAATTTTCTTGGGAAAGAATTCCCTGTTTTGAAGCTGAAACAGTGTTTGTGTCAACAGTCTCACCTTATATATATATATATATATATGTATACTGTTATATTCAAATTTAAGTTATAATGTATGGTTTGCTTTTTTTTCTAATACAGATTTAAGTTGC